TGTCTGTATGTCTGTATGTCTGTATGTCTGTATGTCTGTATGTCTGTATGTCTGTATGTCTGTATGTCTGCCTGCCTGCGTAGGAGCATTTATCGTTACAACATGCACCTTTAAGTGAATAAAAGAAAAAAGTATTAAAGAAAAATTGACTTTAAAGCCACAATTAAAACCTGGGTGTATTTCCACTGCAGGACTTTTGACGATGGAGTACACTTCAGAGCAATTGAACTACTTTCGCATTTGTTACATCGCCTTTACTTTGGTTCCCAAAGGACTACGGCAAGTCTTCCAGCAACAATGGGATTTCCGTTACAAACGTACGTTTGGAGAATGGAAGGACACGCCAAAGAATGGGTCAGACTTCTACAATAACGAGTCTAGAACAAGCCATTCGAAGAATAAGCGATCTCTGTCCACCATACAGAACGGTAACACGGCAGAGTGGGACTGTAGCTGTTTGGTTTTCGCGATCCTGTTCTCAGATAGCATTGGAATAACGCTGAGGACCACAATCAGGAAAAAAGTCAATGATCTTCGTAAAGTCCGAAATGACATTGCTCATATCAAGGCGAAACTTACTGATGATGAATTCAGGAGTTATGTCAGAAGGGTGTTGCTAGCGTTCAACTCTTTGAATCTTCCGACCAGTGATATAGAGGCGGTTAAAAACCAGACGAGCTTTCCCACCGCACAAGTAAAGAACTTGATGGAGCAGGTTGAATGTCTTACGGAAGAGATTAATTCCAAAGTTGAGTCTTTTTGTACTCTCACTTTCAAGCCATCTCACCAAATCATCAGACGTTCAAATGACGTCACAAGGATCATGGCAAAAATGCAAGAGCTTGACGATGNGCCATCTCACCAAATCATCAGACGTTCAAATGACGTCACAAGGATCATGGCAAAAATGCAAGAGCTTGACTATGGAAATAACGGAGCAGTCAGTACCATTTATTTATCAGGAAATCCTGGATGTGGCAAAACTCAACTTGCGCGTCAAATTGGAGAAGAGTTCTTTACAAAAGAATCAGGTGAAAGTGAAGGCTTAACGTTCGTTGCAACCCTGAATGCTGAAACTCTTGAAACGCTAGCTGACTCCTACCTCAGTCAGGCTAAACAGGTGGGAATTACTGAATACGCCTTCACCAAACTGGCTACCGCAGAAGAAGCCAATCCCAAGGAAAGAATTCAACAACTCCGGTGTTTAATTTTCCCGCAGTTTAAACAGTTCTCAAAATGGTTAATAATAGCAGACAACGTTG